CAGCATCGCAGCGCGCGCACTTAACCACCAAGCCACAGGGCCGGCCCTGTTTTGAGTTTTCAATATGCCAGGCCCTGTGCCAGTGCTAGGGATACAGTGAAACCCAAAATGGTTCCTCCCTCAGAATTTTCAGTCTAGATGGAATGACAGATCCTAAACAGACACACTACTAATGTACAAGGATAATAAATATTAATAAGGTAAGTTTAGGTTATTGTGAGAGAAAATAATATGGGTACTTAGATTGGAGAGAGGGTCAGAGAAGGCCTTTTTAAGAAAGACATTTAAAAAAAAAATTTTTTTTTTTTGGTGAGGAAGATTGGCCCTGAGCTAACATTTGTTGCCATTCTTCTTTTTGCTTGAGAAAGATGGTCCCTGAGCTAACATCTGTGCCAATCTTCCTCTACTTTGTATATGGGATGCTGCCACAGCATGGCTTGATGAGCAGTATGTAGGTCTGTGCCCGGGATCTAAACTTGCAAACCCTGGGCTGCCGAAGCGGAGTACACGAATTTAACCACTATGCCACCGGGCTGGCCCTAAGAAAGACATGTTAACTGAGACCTGTATAATGAATATTCAGGCTGAAGAATGGGAAGGAAAAGTGTTCTAGTAGAGGGAACAGAATGGACAAAGCCCGGGAGGTAGGGAACCTCCTCAGTTTGGCCTATTGAGAGAATGGGGATAAGGCCATGGAGGACAGAATGCAGTAAGCAAGGGGAGAGCGATCCAAGGGGGGCTTGGGGAGGGAGGCAGGGACTAGACCACGCAGACCTTTCTAGGCTATGATAAGGGATGTGGATTTTTTTCAAGTACAGTGGAAAGTAATTGAAATAACTGACATAACCTGATTTTATTTTTTAAATCATGCTTAGCCACTCATTAAAAGTGGCTTGTAGTGGGGCAGACGTGGAAGCAGGCAGGCCTCTTAGGAGGTAACTGCAGTTGTCCAGATTGACTGGGATAGTGGCAGTGGCAGAAGAAATGGAGAGAAGCAGACCAATGTGATGATGTGTCTTGGAGGCAGAATCAACAAGTGAATAGGATTGACCGGATGAAGGAGGAGAAAAGAATGACTGTGAGGTTTTTGGTTTGAGCAATTGGGTGAATGATGAGGAAAGGAAGCCTGTAGGAGCAGCAGGTTTGAATGCTTCTGTGTTTAGACTCTATGAGACGGGCTGGCCCTGTGGCTTAGCGGTTAAGTGCGCGTGCTCCGCTGCTGTTGGCCCGGGTTCAGATCCTGGGCTCGCACCGACGCACCGCTTCCCCGGCCATGCTAAGGCCGCGTCCCACATACAGCAACTAGAAGGATGTACAGCTATGATATACAACTATCTGCTGGGGCTTTGGGGGAAAAATAAATAAAGAAAATTATTAAAAAAAAAAAAAAGAATCTATGAGACATCAGGATGGTTCTGTCAAGTAGATAATTGTTATGACCAGAGTTGAGAAGATAAGTCTGAGCTAAAGATGTAAATACATTTGAGAGTCCTTGGAATATAGATAGTATTTAAATCGTGATGACACAGAAAGATATCCACATTTTTGGGGGTAAAAAAAACCAGTAGCAGAATAGTATGTTCAATATGATTCCAAATGTGACAGAAATTATTGTTCATATATATAAATATGTTGTCTAAGCATAGAAAATGTCTTAAAGAATATAGGTATCAAATAGCAATAGTCATCTTTGAGGATGGAGGGTAACAAGATATGGAGGACACTTACTTTTTATTTATAGCCTCTACATTTTTTTTCAACAAGTTACCTTTTACAATTTTTTTTTCATTTTTTTATTGTGAAATTTTTGTTGTACATTATTGTTTATCAGTCACCATATAAGTGCATCCCTCCACCCCTTGTGCCCACCCCCCACACCCCTAGCCCCTGGTAACCACCAAACACAGTTCTATCTGTCCGTGTGTTGGTTTATCTTCCACTTATGAGTGAAATCATGCACTGTTTGTCTTTCTCTTTCTGGCTTATTTCACTTAACATAATACCCTCCAGGTCCATCCATGTTGTTGCAAATTGGACGATTTTGTCTTTTTTTATGGCTGAGTAGTATTCCGTGATATATATATATACCACATCTTCTTTATCCAGTCATCAGTTGAGGGACACTTGGGTTGCTTCCATGTCTTGGCTATGGTGAATAATGCTGCGATGAACATAGGGGTGCATAAGCCTCTTTGGATAGTACAATTTTTAAATGAATAAAACTACCCATTAGCTTGTTTTGTAATTTGATACTATTAATTAGCAGGCTGTTAGCTGTATGCTTCCTAGGCTCCTTCCCTGCACAAATTCCCACCCCAAGGGCATCTTAACGCCAGGGTGCCTGCAGTTTCGATGGCTTTAATTTAATTTGACAAAATGCAGAGAAGACCACTTTATGCTAGTTCTAGGGAGTCAGGCATGAATAAGACACAGTCCCTGCACTTGAGGAATTTTTCATCTACTGGGTTTTTAATTGACTACTAAACAAAGATGACGACAGAATGAGCAAAGGACCTTGGAATTAAGAAATTAATTCTGCAAGGACAACTCTGGAAGGCTTCACAAAAGGGGTGACATTTCATTTATTCAATAATGAATTGAGGGCCGGCCCCGTGGCTTAGCGGTTAAGTGCACGCGCTCCGCTACTGGCAGCCCGGGTTCGGATCCCTGGCGCACACCTACGCACCTCTTCTCCGGCCATGCTGAGGCTGCGTCCCACATACAGCAACTAGAAGGATGTGCAACTATGACATACAACTATCTACTGGGGCATCGGGGAAAAAAAAGGAGGAGGATTGGCAATAGATGTTAGCTCAGGGCCGGTCTTCCTCAGCAAAAAGAGGAGGATTGGCACAGATGTTAGCTCAGGGCTGATCTTCCTCACAAAAAACAAAACAAAAAAAAGAAATATTCCTGGGATCCAGTAGGTAGAACGAAGCCAAGAGGACCTAAGACTTAGACCAGTGATTCTCAAACTTAATTAAGCATCAGAATCATCTGAAGGGCTCATTAAACCACAGATTGCTGGACCCCATACCAGAGTTTCTGATTCAGTGGGTCTGGAGTGGGGCGCAAGAATTTGCATTTCTAACAAGCTCCCAGATGCTGATTCTGCTGACCTGGAGGCCACACTTTGAAAACCACTGGCCTAGAACAAAGCCGCTGGCAACTGACAGATGCTGAATAATTTTCTGAGAGAATGGATATGCGTAGTCATCTTCAGGAATGGAGGTCTCCCTGCAGTTAAAGACCAGATGAAAGGTAAGGCCACATGGGAGGGTGGAAGATGGTGGTCGGAGTAGAACATCAGAGTTTGGATTCAGAGAAGGAACAATTTTGGGTGGACAAGGTCCAGGATTGACCCTGCCAGGGTAATAATGGGAAGTCAAAGAATTGTGTTGCAAGGGTCATCAAAATGGATCACATCTGGCAGAGGCTTGTGTCTAAAGAGAAGCTCCAACAGGAAGTCAAGATCTGAAGGGGAGTCTGGCTACTTTCTGGGCCTGAATTATATAGAGTTGACTGTGTATACACCTACAGACATTGTAGCCTATCCAGGTTAACGTACCAATACTGGCAACAAATCTAAGGGAAGTTTGGGATTGTATCAGCTCTATCTGCTCATCCTGTAAGTAAGGTCTGGGCTAGTTCCCAGGCTTTTGTGGGTGTGCTCTAGAGTGGAGATCACAGCCTGGGGATTTCAGCTCTGTAAGGAAGCAATTCACCTTAGGCCCTGGGGATAGGGAAGCAGGACAGACAGGGAGGCTGCTGATTCTGTGAGAAGTGGATTGTAGGGCCAGCCCTGTGGCTTAGCAGTTAAGTGCACTCCGCTACTGGCTGCCGGGCCTGGATCCCAGCGCGCACCGATGCAGGCTTCACTGGCCATGCTGAGGCTGCGTCCCACATACAGCAACTAGAAGGATGTGCAACTATGACATACAACTATCTACTGTGGCTTTGGGGGGGAAAAAAAAGGAGGAGGATTGGCAATAGATGTTAGCTCAGAGCCCATCTTCCTCAGCAAAAAGAGGATTAGCATGGATGTTAGCTCAGGGCTGATCTTCCCCACCAAAAAAAAAACAAAAAAAAAAAGTGGATTGTAAAGAATTAATAGGGCTGGCCCGGTGGTGCAAGCACTTAAGTGCTCGCGCTCCTCTGCGGCGGCCCGGGGTTAACTGGTTCTGATCCCGGGCACGCACCGACGCACCACTTGTCAAGCCATGCTGTGGCGGTGTCCCCATATAAAGTGGAGGAAGATGGGCACGGATGTTAGCCCAGGGCCAGTCTTCCTCAGCAAAAAGAGGAGGATTGGCAGATGTTACCTCAGGGCTGATTCTCCTCACAAAAAAAAATAAAAATTCCATTTGATTAGCACTTTTACAGATTAAAAATGTCTGTTAACCCTCAGCAATGATTTTGCACCTTTTATAGCTTCCCCTTTACACCTTTATAGGAGCAACGCTCAGAACATCCCTGTGGGGGTATGACTGTGATTAGATCTCAGATCATGGCCACCTCACAGCTTGTGTCCTCTACAGCCTGCTGGTACTGAAGAGCACGGCGCCCCAAGGGGCTCCCTCCACTGCTTAATACCTGTGCAACCTTCCACAAAGTTACTTCCTCCCCCCGCCTCAGTTTTCCCGCTTGTAAAATGCGGATAATACGCTCCATAGGGTAATTGTGTGGATTAAGTTAGGTAGTAAATGTAAAGCTCTGGAAACAGAGTGAGCACCCTATAAATACTAGTTATGATTTGTTACATTGCCTAATACGGGTCCTTGTCAATGCCCCGACACGTGTGTGGTTTGTGGTCCTGCAGTTTCGTGCGCTCTGTCTGGCTAGACAGCATTCAGCGACATTGATCACTGGCAGGGTTTGCACACAGAGAGGGAGCCAGAGGAAGAACTCGCGCAGCCGCAGAACGGGTTGCAGTGGCGCCTGTCCGCCGCTGGGGCCGCGGGGGCCGCTGGGCTCGCCCCGCCCCCTAGAGGTCAGGGGTCGTCTGATGGTGAAGGGGCGGCAGCACCTCCGGTTACCCAGTCCTGGGCCGATGGCGCCGGCGCAGCGCTGCCCTCTGTGCCGCCAGACTTTCTTCTGTGGTCGCGGACACGTCTACAGTCGCAAGCACCAGCGGCAGCTGAAGGTGGCTTTGGAGCGGCTCCTGCCCCAGGTGCGGACGGGAGGCCGGAGGGGGCCGCGGACGGCCTGGAGGCGGGGCTGCGGGCCCTGCAGTGAGGGCCCGAGGGGGTGGGATTTGGGGGTCCTGCTCGGGGTCCTACTTGGCCCCTTGCCGGTTACACGCTGTCCGCCGCAGGTGGAGGCCGCCCGCAAGGCCATCCGCGCGGCTCAGGTGGAGCGTTACGTGCCCGAGCACGAGCGGTGCTGCTGGTGCCTGTGCTGCAGCTGTGAGGTGCGGAAACACCTGAGCCACGGAAACCTGACCGTGCTGCACGGGGGGCTGCTGGAGCACCTAGCCAGGTGAGAGCCGGGCTGGGGACCTCATCCAGCACACTCGCATACAGACGTGCGAGGGAGGGTTTAGCGTGGGGGAGAGGAAGAACGCTTTTGTGATTTGATCGGAGTGGATGGATTGAGCCACCTTAGAGGCATTGCCAGCCTTGAGGGGTAGAGGGCTTATGGCTGCCATGGTCCCAGTAGTGTTGGTGGTCCAGCTGGGAAAGCCAGCTGGGCAGCTGGCTCAAAGTTACTCCCATCACCTCCTCTCAGATTCTCACATTTTTATTGGAAGAGGGAGACTGGAGATCTGGAAGAGACTAGTAACGGTGTTCCTCTCTCAGCCTTGCCCAGAGGCAGAAACCCAGATGTCAGTTTGCATTAATTATCTAATGCCTAGATATCTGAGTAATATTCTATGATCTTTTATTGAGATTACTCATCCTCTCCATTCTCAGCCCAGAGCACAAGAAAGCAACCAACAGATTCTGGTGGGAGAACAAGGCTGAGCTCCAGATGAAAGAGAAGTTTCTCATCTCCCCACAAGATTATGCACGGTAAGTCACCAGTTATGAAAGACGAAGTAGCAGAGTGTGAATTCTCTGGATCTGTGTCAGGTACTGGAGCTTTCTCTATTAACTGGAAAGTTCAGTAAGGACTTCCTAAGTTATCTATGTCTTCATAGCACTCATTATTCCAGGCCCTATGTTGGACACAGAAGAAGTATGACAGAGTCCTTGAAAGGTTTATAATCTAGTTGGGGGATGGGATTTACAATGCATTTAGCAAATAGAGAACAGTATATAGTAAAAGTTGACTCTAATCAACTACTTAAATGTGTGGCACAGAGAATACTAAGGTCCTTTAGGAATAGAAGAGGCTGTTTATAGTGTGCAAAAAACTGGTGCTCACCCAGTACCCACTTTTAATAGTTTTAGACTATATTAACTGGCCTCTGGAGGACCCTTAGAAGCTGAAGTGCAGGAAGCTGGTCGGCACAGAGAGGGTGGGAGCCCTGACTGCCTCAGGAAGAGGGCACAGGCTGCCTCACGACACCACTTTTATTGGGACTATATTGAGATTATGAGGTGTGAAGGGGGTCTCAGAGCCAAAGTTACAGAAAAACTTATGGTATCTGTTATTCCTTTCTGCTCAGTGTGGAAAATAATGAGGGAATAGTAAGAAATGCCTAAATCCCTCTACCTTGCCTTCACACCTGTGGTTCAGAGTGGGAGGAGATGGGAATCTGAGGACAAAAAGCACTCCTCATATCCTTCATGCCCTGACCCAGCGCCATATGGTTTTTGGTGGATGAATAAAAGATAGCTGAGTGGAAAAGGTTATAATTGAGAATTATGAGGATGGACTCTCTGAATTTTGTGTTTAAATAGAGGTTTTTTTTTTTTGTTTGTTTGTTTTTAGTGAAGAAGATTAGCCCTGAGCTAACATCCGCTGCTAATCCTCTTCTTTTTGCTGAGGAAGATTGGCCCTGGGCTAACATGTGTGCCCATCTTCTTCTACTTTATATATGGGATGCCTGCCACAGCATGGCTTGATAAAGTGGTGTGTAGGTCCATGCCCAGGATCCGAACCTGCAAACCCCAGGCCGCACAAGCTGAGCGTGTGAACTTAACCTCTATACCACTGGGCTGGCCCCTTAAATAGAGTTTTGACTTTTTTTTTTTTTTTGGTGAGGAAGATTGGACCTGGGCTAACATCTGTTGCCAATCTTCCTCTTTCTGCTTGAGGAAGAGTGGCCCTGAGCTAACATCTGTGCCCATCTTCCTCTATTTTATATGTGGGACACTGCCACAGCATGGCTTGATGAGTGATTTATGTCCGTGCCCGGGATCTGAACTTGTGAACCCTGGCCTGCTGAAGTGGAGTGCGCTGAACTTAACCACTATGCCACCAGGCTGGCCCTGAGAGTTTTGACTTAATCTTACAGATTTCAAGCTCACACACACAGGACAAGGCAAAGCCAAGCCTGACTGATTTGACTGGTAAAGATAAAATGAGCCACTTTTATTTATTTTTTTGTGAGGAAGATCAGCCCTTAGCTAACATCCATGCTAATCCTCCTCTTTTTGCTGAGGAAGACCGGCTCTGAGCTAACATCTATTGCCAATCCTCCTCCCTATTTTTTTTTGCCCCCAAGGCCCCAGTAGATAGTTATATGTCATAGTTGCACATCCTTCTAGTTGCTGTATGTGGGACGCGGCCTCAGCATGGCCAGAGAGGCGGTGCGTCGGTGCGCGCCTGGGATCCGAACCCGGGCCGCCAGTAGCGGAGCACGCGCACTTAACGCTAAGCTACGGGGCCAGCCCCAAGCCACTTTTAGATTTAGAGAGTTTATTACTTACATAGACAGCAAAGAGAGTAAGCACAAAGTGCCAGCTTCCCAGGGCCTTGTCTCACACACTGAAAGGGACCACAGTGAAACAAAAAGGGCCGATGATTGCAATGTGAGTTGTAGGATACCTGTTGCTGGGGAGCCAAATGTAGACTGCAGCTGTCATCTGAGAGGGGTGGGGCCCCCATACCTCATCAGAACCCAGGAGTTGATGAGAAACTCTCATGACAGCCTCCCAGGGGAGATAGGCAAGTGGGAGATGGCCTCATAGCAGCTCCTTTCAGGCCTCCCATCCTCTTGTGTTCTGGGATGTGTGAATCACACAGGCATTCAGCCAAGACTCTGATAAGCTGCGGTTCAAGGCTCTGTGTGTATGGAGAAGTGCAGGGCTGCCAGGGCATGGTGGTAGAGCCATTTCTCTACATAAATGTTTTACATATTAAAATTAGGTCAGAAAACAAATCCTAAAATTGTAAACAAATTATAATTATGTATCAAATTGATAATCACAAACAAAAGAATAAGCATTGAAGTAACTTTTGAACACAAAATTCTGACTGTATACCCTTAGGATATTTTCTAAGGACTAAAGAACTGCAAGGAAATCTTGAGCTTTGCTTAGTTGTATTGTTGACAGTGGTATTGGTATTATTCTGATGCCTTTTTGTATGTATGGTAGGACAACAAAACTGCAAGTATATTGATGTTGGGAACCAGGGTTTTCACTATGGCGGAAGGAAGGTACAAGTAAGGAATGGAAGGATTTGAATGGGGAGGTAGCAGTATGAATTCTTGATTTAAGGCAAAAAAGCTCTGTCCTCTGAAGGAGCTAGAAGCATGACACCTGTGGAGCAGTAAGAGCTTTGCTAACTCTCAGCTCTTTGCTTCTAAATACTACTTTCTAGTAAAACAAACCAGATTTCATTGGAGAAATAGTTAATTTCAGGTTTGGGGCAGGGAAAGTACTTGATGCACCTGGAATATCTTGTGCTGGAAATGCTCAGATTGATGGAGTGGTCCAGAGGACAAAGGAGCTGGTTTGAAAGGGTTCTCGCTAGCCAAATATGGGATCATTTGAACATCAAAAAGAGTAATTGCTTTTATTCTTAAGTGTGGTAATGGTTTCATGATTTCATAGACTGTTCCTGTTCTCAGGAGATGCGTGCTGAAATATTTAGATTCGAGTTAAGTCTCATGATATCTAAAACCCACTTTTGTTTTGGCAAAAAGGAAATGTGTATATAAAAAAGAGGAGGGGCTGGCCCCGTGGCGCAGCGGTTAAGTGCGCGCGCTCCGCTGTTGACGGCCTGGGTTCGGATCCCGGGTGCGCACCGATGCACCGCTTGTCAGGCCATGCTGTGGCGGCGTCCCATATAAAGTGGAGGAAGATGGGCACAGATGTTAGCCCAGGGCCAGTCTTCCTCAGCAAAAAGAGGAGGATTGGTATGGATGTTAGCTCTGGGCTGATCTTCCTCACAAAAAAAAAAGAGGAGGCATTATGGCAAAATGTTAACAGTGAATCTAAGGAGAGGTACACAGATGTTCATTATACTATTTTGTTTCTGTGAGTTTGAAATTATTCAAAATTTAAAAAAATTATCTACTGAGGCTCTTTTCACAACTGGCAGGGACTGGAGTTCTGGGCTGACTTGCCCTTTTTCTGTTTAGATTCAAGAAATCCATGGTGAAAGGTTTGGATTCCTATGAGGAAAAAGAGGATGAGGTGATCAGAGAGGTAAGTTAAGGGAAAGTACTCTGAAGGACCCAGCCCCCGTGATTTTGTGCCTGTCTAAGCAGCCTCTCTCCCACAGATGGCAGCTCAGATCCGTGAGGTGGAGCAGAGCCGGCAGGAGGTGGTTCAGTCTGTCTTAGAGGTTGGTTTCTCTCGGAGGAGCCAGAGCAGTATCCAAATCCACTGATCCCTGGTTCTCCCAGGTCCAGCATTTCACCTACCAGCTCTTCTAAGAGAACTCATGGACTCCATGCTTCACCTGCTCGGCTTGAATTCCCTTACCTGTCAGCCAGGGGGCAAGCCTTCTCAGTGGAGAAGGTGTGGGCAGGGCTGGGAGGGAGGGAAGAGTTTGCAGGATGGCAGCACCCTCCATATGCCAATTTGTTTCCTTCTGGAGGGTGGGAGTATGGCCTAGGCAGACTCTTAAGCATCCTAGACACATTTATTTTTCCTGAATCAAACTCAGCCTCAGGCAGTGCCAGACCCAGAAGAGGGCTCTTCGGCACCTGGAAGCTGGAAAGGGACAAACAGGTAAGATTACTAGGGAATCTCTTGTTGGGAGTTTGACATCTGTTAGAGCATTCTGTAACCTTTTGGCTGTGAAATGAGAACAAATCTCATCTTTGCTATCCTCATGGCTCAAGGACCTTGTCCACCAGCCTGGCTCCTATTTGTCTTTTTCAGACAAGTAGCCTCCACCTCACAGCAGCCCTCATACTTGGACCTGCCACCAGCCCCACAGCTTGACTGGATGGAGACAGGACAATCTCTGACATTCATTGGCCATCAGGTACAATGGATAAGGAAGCCAGGAAAAGGGCAAATGCCTCCTCAGTTCCCAGGACACCCATCTCTTGGTTTTTCTATCTATTCTGGCCATTCCTCTCTTAACTGCAGGCTTTTCCCTCTTGCTGCACTGTTCCACAGTATCATGTTCTCACACCTCTTTCCTGACCCTCCATGGTGAGCTTCTCCACACCTGTTGCCCCACTGCCACTTAGGAGTACCAACTCCTAAACCTCATCCTCTGCAGAACTCGGTTCCAGCTCAATATAGGACACGTTTATAGATATCCCATAGGCACCTGAAACTAACCCCCACCACTCCTGTACTTCCAATAACTAGATGCAGATCCTGTCCCCTTCTATCTCGCACATCCTGTGAACGAGTATGTCTGTTTTACCTCCTGAATACAAGCTGGCCTCTATACCACCTTGGAAGTTTTTCTCCCCCTGCAGTCCTGTCGCAAACACACAGAAAATCATTGCATTACCTGCCATCTTGTATTCTATACTCCAGCTGTACTGTGCTTCTCCGTTGTTGCGTATGTTGTTGCCATTGCCTTAAATAGTATGCTTTCGTTCCCTCATCTAGTTAACCCTTACCTTCCTTCAGCTTAGCTGAAATGTCACTTTTTTGTGTGTGAGGAAGATCAGCCCTGAGCTAACATCTATTGCCAATCCTTTTTTTTTTTCCCTTTTTCTCCCCAAAGCCCCAGTAGATAGTTGTGTGTCATAGCTGCACATCCTTCTAGTTGCTGTATGTGGGATGCCGCCTCAGCACGGCTGCACAAGCGGCGCGTCGGCGTGTGCCCGGAATCCGAACCCGGGCTGCCAGTAGCGGAGCACGTGCACTTAACAGCTAAGCCACGGGGCTGGCCCTGAAATGTCACTTTTTCATGCAAGGCTTATCTGCACAAACTGTCTGTTATAAACAGATGTGGTACTGTGTAAAGCTGTGAATGTGATTTCTGTAATTTATACTCAGTTCTCTTCCCCAATGATATGTATGCTTTGTGAGGATAGATTTTGTTTATCTGACACATAGTAGGCACTCTGTTTTTGGAGATGTCCACTATTAAGATCATGAGTCTCTTGAGGACGAGACTGTCTTTCAGTGCTTTACTGTGCTCTTAAGTTTAACATCAGCGGGGATGGAGAATTAACATTGTGGCAATGGTTCCACGCACCCTGTTAAGTTTGCCCTTTCTCTAGCTATGAGTATCCTATCATCTCATGGCTCTTATCTGGGTTTTTTTTTCCCATTTCCAACTACAGGATACACCAGGAGTTGGTAACATCCACTCAGGTAAGGCCCAGGGAAATGTTTCTCAAATTGTAAGAGGCAGTTATTTTTTAAAGAATAAAGTGAAGATAAAGCACTATCAGATGAAGGACTTGTATCCTGAATATACGAAGAACTCTCAAAACTCAGTCAAGGCATATACAAAAGATGCTCATCAGGATGGTTAAAATTAATGACTGACCATGTATGTGGAGGAACTCAGACACTCTGGTGGGAACCTAAAATGGCACCACTACTTTGGAATTTTTTAAAAAGTTAAGTATACGCCCACCGTTATGATCCAGCCATTCCAAGAGAAAAAGCACGTCCACACAAAGGCTTGGACACAGATCTTCATAGCAGCTTTATTTGTAGTAGTCCCAAACTGAGAACAATCCAAATGTCTCCCCAAAAATGAACAATGGAATAGTAAACAACAAAGGAACTACTCATACATGTAACACACATAAATCTCTATGCTAAAAACCAAATTAAAAAAAAAGTATATACCAAATTCCATTTATATAGAATTACAGAAAATGTAAGCTCATCTATAGCAACAGAAAGCACATCAGTGGTTGCCTAGGGCTTGGAAAGGGAAATATATATACAGGCACAAAGTATTTTAAAGGGGTACCAAAGATAGATGGGGGTGATTTTCATATCTTGATTATGGTGATGGTTTCACACAAAAGGTTTCAAACTGTACACTTTAAATGTGCGCAGTTTGTTGTACGTCAATTATGCCTCAATAAGACTATTAAATACCAGCATATCACATGTAAGGTATGTTGCTTTATTTTTATCTTTTATTTTTTTTGTGAGGAAGATCAACCCTGAGCTAACACTCATGCCAATCCTCTTTTTTGCTGAGGAAGACTGGCTCTGGGCCAACATCTGTGCCCATCTTCCTCCACTTTATATGGGACACCGCCACAGCATGACCTGACAAGCAGTGCATCCGTGCACGCCCAGGGTCCGAACCCGGGCTGCCAGCAGTGGAGCACGTACACTTAACCACTATGCCATGGGGCTGGCCCCAGGTATGTTGCTTTAAATTAGCCTAGGATCCTCAACTTCCCATGGTCCAGAATTCCTGGGCTTTGCTTATGAACTTTCCAGGCCTCAATCAGGTAAGAGCTTAAAGCTAGGGCACAGGGCCAGCCTGGTGGCACAGTGGATAAGTTTGGCATGTTCCTCTTCAGCGACCTGGGGTTTGCAGGTTCAGATCCCAGGCCAGACCCACACTACTCATCAAGCCATGCTATAGCGGCATCCCACATACAAAACAGATGGAGATGGGCACAGACGTTAGTTCAAGGCCACTCTTCCTCAAGCAAAAAGAGGAAGACTGGCAACAGGTGTTATCTCAGGGCCCATCTTCCTCACCAAAAAAACCCCAAAGACCTAGGGCAGGTTTCACAGTAGACTGAAAGTTAAATGGGTCTTCCTTTATCAGGTGCCACCCCTCCCTGGATGGTCCAAGATGAGGAATACAGCTCTGGGAACCAACAAATAGGACCCTCCTATGAAGAATTTCTTAAAGAAAGTAAGTAAACTAATTCAAGAATAGCAGTGGGTTCCTTAAATCTTCCTACTCAAAACTGTTCACTTACCATTGTAGAGGAAAAACAGAAATTGAAGAAACTCCCCCCAGGCAGAGTTGGGGCCAACTTTGACCACAGCTCTAGCACCGGTGCAGGCTGGCTGCCCTCTTTCGGCCGGGTCTGGAATAATGGACGCCGCTGGCAATCCAGGTATGAGTCCAGTGCCAGGTGCCCAACCCACCGCCCCTTTGGAGATCTCACCCCTTTGTCCTCTTAACCCTTCATTTCCTTTCAGGCATCAATTCAAAACTGAAGCTGCAGCAAGGAACAAACAGTCACATAAAGAAAAAAGGCTAATGATTTCCTGATATTTTTCCAACCACCATAAGGCTCAAAGCCAAATCAACAAACCTATACCTATTATCCTTTGTAACCGCCTTTTTCAGGAAACAGACATATCCACTTATTTGATTTAATAAAGTTTTATTTTTCAAAATCTACAGTTGGTGGGACCTGTAAAAAATTAAAAGAAGAATCAGAACTACACAGCCTTGTAAAGGGGATGCATACTTCCCACACCATGAGCCCCTGGGTTCTTGCTCACCTGTTCATGCATCTTCACCAGCAGCTGGGGCATCTCCACCCTTGGTGTTTCTGGTGTAAATTACTTGCGCTCTGTGCTTTGAAACCAGTTTAATAAGTCCTAGGAGAAAGAATAAGGTTTTCACATAACAGTACTATGAGATACTTAATAGAAACCAGAAACTGAGTTTTAGATCCCTTCTCAAAATAAAAACACTGAATTTGAGACTGAATTCAATAACAGGGGTCAGCATGCCTACATTTCTTGGCAATAATCTAATTTTACTTATCCTTTCTAAATTAGGGGCCCATAACCTGCTCTTGGGATGGCAACCCTCATGGCATTTCACTAGTAATGTAAAAACCACTATTTCCACATTAGGCACTACTACAGATATCTTAGAATATTTATACTAATGTGAAATTATGGTAATTAGACCCACCGGTCAATTTTTAAAATTTAATACATAAAAAATGTACCTTTATACAGGCTTTTAGTATTTTAATAGCTGTATTTCAGTGTAACTGGGTTTCTTCTATGTACTTAGAAGAAATTTTTATTCACTTGAAAACACAAGGGATCCCTGGGTTTCACCAAACTGCCATAGGGGCCTATAGCACAAAAATGGCCAAGAACCCTGCTTTAGGTCTATCTACTAGAATTATATTACTAACAACCACTGGTCAGCCTATGCCTATTTTTAAAAATTCCAGTTAAGAAATTTAAGATGGGTAAGATGGTCAGGCCAATTTAACACGCAAAAGCATACCAGTACAACACTCCCCTTACCTTTACTAAGGAGCTCTTGAAGGGCTGCCCTGGCCAGGGAACCGCGAATCTTCAGTCTCTCAGAGACAACAGCTGGGGTTATAAGTTTATAGTTGGGCACTTCCTTACAGAGTTTGTCATATGTGGCTTTGTCAAACAAGACTAGGTTATTGAGTTTGTCGCGAACTTTGCCTTTGGACCACTTCTGCTCACAAAAGCAAAAAGGAAAAAAGTCAGTGCTCCAGGAAGAATTACTCTTTCCCTCCTAAACAACCTATGTCAGAGAAATCTCTTTCACGATTGTAGGGCTATACTGAGAGAGTAGGTCTGTTCCTTGGCCTGCAGAAACCTATGAGATTTAGAATTTGCAGAAACTCTGCAAATTCAAATAAATATATTGAAGTAATTAAAATGCCAGGATACAAAGTTAAGAGACCCTGATTACCATTAATGGAATTAAATATAATTAGATTAGAAACCCCCCCAACACATCTTTGACTTTTGGATATGGGCTGAGCCCCACGGGACCAATTAAAATAACATTATGTTCTAGACATCAGAACAAATGCTTTATACACACTGCTTTAATTTCCAAGTAGTATGTACCAGCCCATTTTTCAAATGAGGAAATACCCATGAGAATGAATGGTGATGACAGCATACACTTTAATAATCTGACTCTAGACCCCACAACCTTAAAAGCCATTTGCTATACACGTCAGTTTGACTAGCGCTATGGGACGGGTGCCCCCAGTCTCCTTCTTACAGGGTGGACTCAATCCTACCTTCTTTTTGGCCTTGCCCCCAGATTTGTTCACTGGGTCTTTGTCTTTCTTGGCCGACTTTCCGGCATCTTTCTTCTTCTTGTCGTCCTTGGGCGGCTGTGGAAGAAAAGCGGGAATACAGCCGGGTGATAAGGCAGCCCCATACTCGCCGTACTACTGCGCCCCCGACACCGCCCAAACCCCACCGCCATAGCACATGGGCGAAGCAACACCCCCCGCCCGCCTTGAGATGCAGCTGGGTAGTTCTGGGAGCCCTCCCGTCCGATGTCGCCTCAAATGTGCTCCAGCACCGCCCCGCTCTCAGAACCACGCCGGCTTCACACCCCGAGCTCACCATCACGAAGCTCGGAGAGCAGCGACTACCACTGCAGCCTCGTTAAGATGTCGGACAAAAAGGAAGCGCCGCTCACCACCAAGCCCAGAAACCTCCACCCGCGGCGAGTGCTTCCGGAGCAAGGGGCGGAGCCCTGCGAAGGAAGGTGGGAGGCAGTGCCTTCACGCTGGAGCCGGAAGGGGGCTCCTGCCCTAAGCGGCAGACGCTACACTGGCTTGTTGGACTCTGCCGTTAGTTGTGAAAGAGTCACGCGTTGCTGTGACCTGGCACTAAAAATTGGGAAAGAGAGACAGAAAACAATTTACCCGGGCCCAGCAACTCACTTGACCTCATAGCTGGTCCCCGAGCGCGTAGCTTCAACCGCGCAAGCGCCGCAGCAATCCCCGTCGGGGCTGGGAGGAGAAAGCGGGGGCGGGGGCGGGTCCGTGACTGCGGTTCCGGGGCGGGGCCGCGGGGAAGAGGCTGGTGCCGGGTGCCCGAGCCGCGGGTGGTAGCAATGGCGATTTTTAGTGTGTATGTGGTGAACAAAGCTGGTGGCCTGATTTACCAGTTGGATAGCTACGCGCCACGGGCCGAGGCTGAGAAAACTTTCAGTTACCCGCTTGATCTGCTGCTCAAGCTACACGACGAGCGTGTGCTGGTTGCCTTCGGCCAGCGCGACGGCATTCGGGGTGGGCTAGGTTTGGGCCGGGGGGCGGGGCCCGGTGCTGCGGAAGTGGGCTGGTGTCTCTGCAGGAGCGCGCGGCTAGGGTTTGCGGTCGGGCTTCTTGTCCCCTGGGCGGTATCCTCAGGCTGGGGCTTCGTTGACCCTTAGCCTCACCTCTGCAGTGGGTCATGCGGTGCTGGCCATCAATGGTGTGGACGTGAACGGCAAGTACACGGCCGATGGGAAAGAGGTGCTGGAGTACCTGGGCAACCCTGCTAATTACCCGGTGTCCATTCGATTCGGCCGGCCCCGCCTGACCTCTAATGAGAAGCTCATGCTGGCCTCCATGTTCCACTCGTAAGTCCCCCAACCCTTCCTAGTGCTTGTAGGCCTGCACTTGGCTCCTTGGGTGGCTGCATTAGTGTGGTACTGGGGGCAGTCTCCTGAGCGCCAGTGCTTATCTTGCTCTACCTCCTTTTATTTATTTTTTTGAGGAAGATTGGCCCTGCGCTAACATCTGTTGCCAATCTTCCTCATTTTTCTTTTTTCTCCCCAAAGCCCCAGTACACAGTTGTGTATCATAGTTGTAGAGTTGTAGCTCTTCTGTGTGGGACTCTGCTTCAGCATGGCTTGATGAGCGTTGGGTAGGTCCGCGCCCCGGATCGGAATGGTGAACCCTAGGTGGCGAAAGTGGAACGCGCGAACTTAACCAGTGCGCCACCAGGCGGGCCCCTCTACCTCCTCTTAAATCATCAGTACTTGTCTTATGAAAAGAAAAACTGATCCAGTGTGACTAGGTTTTAGGTAATACTGGCAGTGGTGTGATCTTGCTTAAGTCAGCTTCTCTTCTCTAAGCCAAGTTCCTACATCTTTAAAGTAAGGCAATTGAACTAAATGATCTTTAAGATCTTTTCCTGCTCTCAATTATGGTGTGAGCTGTGCTAGGTACATATAGCCACAGGGTAAGTAACCTGTGTTACTTACTTCCCAGTGTTAATTTTACCCAAAGTTTTTCCACATAAGATGTTTTATAGCAAAGTATGAATGTAAAATACATGCAGAATTCAAATGAATTTTAAAGAAATTTTGATACTGCTGCTACTGCTGCTAGGCAGTTCACACGGCCTCATCTGACTGTCTCGGGCTGTAATGTGAACTCCTTAGCAGATAGGATCACTTCAGTGGAAAAGGTTGAGAAGCACTCCTCCCTTAACAGCAGTGGGCTGCATTCCCAGCTTTGCCTCCCTTGCAAATAGGTTGTTCGCAATCGGCTCCCAGCTGTCTCCGGAACAGAGCAGCTCAGGCATTGAGATGCTGGAGACAGACACATTCAAACTGCACTGCTTCCAGACACTGACAGGTATGCATCTCCAGATAGGCCAGAGGGATTCAGTGGGGCAGGTTGGGGGAAGGGACTGACCAAAGACAGCTTTAGTAAGCAAGGGGGATGGTGGTTAGCTTTTCCTGTGACAATTGCACAGACACATCTATTTATTTGTTTTGTGAGTCCAAAGCCAATATTTAATCTGACGCCAATTTTGTCCACGTCACCCAGCATGCTCAGCCCTGGTTACCCTGTGTGCAGATAAAGCTCACCTTAATGTTTTCTCATGTCGGACACATTTTGGAAGGTGTGTTGTTCCAAAATGAAGTTTGAATGCCAAATGAAAATGACCTTTGGATCATGTCATTGCTTCACTCCCTTAATGCAGATAATTGAAAACTGCCAGAGTTTGTCCCCTGCCAGGCGCTTTCTGCTGAGGGACCCTAAGCAGAAGTAAGTCACAGAGCTAGAACTCAAAGCCTGGTCTCTCGGTCAACTGAGTGATGTTATAAAGTCACTTCACTTTTATGGTCTCGCCTATAGATTCAAAATCATGCCTTTCTTGCTTTATGGAGCAGTGAGGATAAAATAAAAATAGGCTTGTGAAAGTCCCTTGCAAAATTGAAAGTGCTGTACAAACACAGGATGGTATTATTTGCTGCATTCTCTGCCCTTTGGTAACCATTCCCCGCCCCTCTGCAGGCATCAAGTTTGTGGTGCTGGCAGATCCTAGGCAAGCTGGAATAGATTCTCTTCTCCGAAAGATTTATGAGATTTATTCAGACTTTGCCCTCAAGAATCCATTCTACTCCCTGGAAATGCCCATCAGGTAAGTGGCCCCACTCCCCAGATACTGGTCAGAGCTTCCTTGCCTCTCCCCTTGTGCTCTTCCCCAAAGTCATTTTAAAGTGTAGTGGAGTTATTTTTAAATAAAACAAAGGTGACTAGCCTTTTACTTACTATTTTGAGAAACCAAAGACTTTCTTTGGGGTTCATGTCCTTCCTCAAGCAGAGTTTCCACTAGCTCTCCTCTGCACCTAAAGTGGGGAGAGACGCTCAGGCCTCACGCTTGGTCCTTATTTATGCCTCCTGGGTCTGGCCTAGGTGTGAGCTGTTTGACCAGAACCTGAAGTTAGCCCTGGAGGTGGCAGAGAAGGCTGGAACTTTTGGACCTGGGTCATAGGCTGAACCTGCAAAGAACCCCCCAAATTCTGAGCGATCCTGCAGCACGGGTCCTGCTGTTTGCACTCTGATGGAGATCCCAGCAGCCTTGTTTGTGCACTTGAAAATGGGAGGATGCTGGGCCTGATGACATGTACTGATCCCCGAGCCTTAATACTATGCTCTCTTCCTTCCTGTGTCTATCTTGGTCCTACTTCCCAACTCTGTACAGATTTATTTATGGAGGAGGTAGGCCCATAAATGCTGTAATAAACACTCCTTTGATCTCAGTGTTTGCTATCCTAATTGATAGTTTTAGGGGAAGGGCTTGGGAGGGGAGACAGAAATGATAAGGGAATTCTGGGAAAATGAGATATTATGTTCTAGTAGAAAGCAAAACAAATATGTGTTCATTAAATGAATGAACATGGGACTTTGAATCAGGAGCCTTGGGTCTAGTTCCAGAATGGCTGCTGACTTCCTAGGGTGCTGATAGTGGTGGTGGTCATGAGGCTAATGATGGAACTTTTTTTTTTCAAGATAAATAATATTTTAATGCAATATTTGAAAAAAAATTAATCCCCAAAAAAACACCCCATGATTAACAAAATATTAAAATTTTAAAGGAGATGATGGAACATTTATCAAGTGTTTATAGCCAGGCTTTACTGCTTTAGCTCACTTAATTCTCACTGTAACCTCAGGGTACATTCTATTACTGACAAGAGATTTAGCCAGGTATAAACTGTGTGTCTCAAAATCTCAAAGCTGGTTAGTGACAGCCCGAGTTTGAACCCAGGCTTTCTGACTACACTATCAGTGAGCCACTGTTATACTGCTTCCCTCCATCAAGTTATTTAATATGCCTGGAACCCAGTAGCTTCATCCCTCGGATGATCTTTTCCCCCCCAAAGCCCCAGTAAATACTTGTATGTCATAGTTGCACATCCTTCCAGTTGCTGTATGTGGGACGCGGCCTCAGCATGGCTGGAGAAGCAGTGCGTGGGTGCGCACCCGGGATCCGAACCCGGGGCCACCAGTAGCGGAGCGCGGGCACTTAACCGCTAAGCCACAGGGCCGGCCCTCGAATGATCATTGAATTCGACAGTGTGAAGTTGAAGGCAGAGGAGACACGAGCTTAAAGGAGTCCACATCAGCTCTCCCATTCCAGGGAAGTGAAGTATTTAAAGAGTATCTTTCAAAGAAAGCTGTCTCTGACTTGTATTACCCCTTTTGAAAGAATGACTCACTGACAGTGTTTAGTATCAAATCTAGTTTTAATGTTATATAACAAGTCTTACTATTCTCCCACCCACACCCCCCTACAGTACCCAGGGTACCAATGAGAATGATAGCCTCCTCTCTTCCCCTGGAGTCTGAGGTATTGATAATAGCAGTTGCCCCCTGCTGAGAGGCGTTAGGGTAGAAGTCATGGGCCTCTGCTGCTGTGCAGCTCCAAGAGGAGCCTCAGCTCAGCTGGGGGTGGTGGGATGGGGGCAGGGCAGGGCTCAGAAAAGGAAGAAGGGTATAGGAGGCTTCCCTGACTGCAGGGGTTTCCAGTTTGAAGTCAGGAAATAGGAGCTAATGGAGTCCAAAAACAAAGGTTGTCTTAAATAGAGCGTAGGATGGGGAGCCAGGACCTCATTAGCCACTGATAACTCCCAGTGCCACTTGTGTGAGGGAAAAGGAGAAGAAAAGGAAAGTCAAAGGTTCAGTGCTGGCCCAAGCAGCCCACTTCCCTCTTTTCCCCCGGCCCCTGTGCAGGGGAAAGGCCACAGGTAGGGGAGGATGCTCTGGAGCCTGCACTCTCTTCACTCAGCCTTCTTGGGCACTCGGCCCATCTTGGTGCGGATGTTTCGTAGGAGGAAGAAGGCAGCTGTGCTGGCTCCACAGATCACTTCAGCCACCCAGAAGGCTGTGCTCCAGCTGTAGTGCTTGGCAATGGTGCTGAAGGGCAACCCAGCCAGAAAGCCACCCACTGCCAGGAAGGAGGGGAAGAACCTGAATCATTTGTGAGGCTACAGCCAGTAGGGCTTGCTCCAGACTCAGCTGGCCTATGTGCAAGGCACAAGTGGGGGTGAAGGAGAGACTCTATAGAGGGTATCACTTACCATTGGCCATGAGCCCCACAACAGCATGGGAGGTGCCACACAAGTTGGGAGGGGCACTCTCGTTGGCTATAACTCCAAACAAGGCAATGGGACCATAAGAGGAAAAACCAAACACAGCTCCCAAGACCAGGATCCAGAGCTGCAAGGGCAGTTCAGGGTAGCATTTAGAGTCTGAGAAAGCCTACCTACCTATCCCTGCCAGAGGAGAGAAGAATGCTTGGCCCCAGGAATGAATAACTGTAGTAAGGAGACAATAAGTGACCCCCCCACCCCACTTCCCAATACAATTGACAGTGCAGAGTTAGAGGAGTGGGTACCACACTGAGCCAACCCAAGGGCCTCTGTGCATAGGAAAGGGAAGTACAGAGACCATCCCTCCAAGGTAGATGCTTTCTTCTCAGAATTTGTGCAAGCTGCATTGGCTAGGCAGAGGCAGAGGGGATAAGACAAAGGTGAGACAAACCAGGAGAAAAACCAGAGATAAAGATAAGGCACCTCGTGCTCCGTAAAGCCTGTGAGCTCAGCGAGAGGGTGAAGAGCTGGAGTCCAGAAAGCAACATCCTAGAGGAGCACAGGGAAGAGAAAGTCCAGGAGGGGCACCAAAGTACAGAAGAGAGGAGCTGAGGCACAAACATAACTGAAAAGGGAAATCTGAGAGGCAGAGAAAGGCCTGGGTCAGGCCAGAGCCAGAGAGAGGGAGACAGAGTCAGTAGCCCCTGCTTTCTCAACCTTGTGCCTGCCGTGGGCCAGGCCCTCCTTATTTACCTTGGGGGAGTCACTGTTCACAGTTACCCGGAAGAGGTACATGGACACTGTCATGCCAGCCATCATGAACAGCAATAGGCCATGGCGAGGGTTCCCGTAGATGGACAGCCCTGCCTGTGGATACAGTCCCAGCAATGTCAGGCGCTAGGAGCAGCAGAGAACCCCCACCCCTGGACTCTGACACAGCAGGCTTCTGCTGACTGGTCTTTGGCAGTCCCACCACAGTTCTTGGCTGGGGCAGCTCTGGGAGGCCCTGGGACCTGCTCATGACGTCTGAGGCCAAACTCCACAACATCCCTTCCTCCCCTTTGGGCAGGCTCGGGACACGTGCTGGAGAGCTGCACCCAGTCCCTCCCCACCCCCAGTTTTCTTGGGGCTGCGGAGAAGCCCACTCCTAGGCTAAGAGAAATTCTGGCTCTCTTTGACGTCAGTTAAAACCCTTTCCCCAAGAGCCTTATCTTCACAGCCCTAGCAAAGAGTAGCCTGGAATCATTCCCACCCATCCTAAACCAGCATATGCCAACCTGCCTGTGCCCCAGGGCTCCCACCTGTCTGGTGCCTGTCCCAGTCATGCTGGGAAGATTTAAAGGGACCCTCTCCTTCTTGTCCCTTCTGCCCACTCACCTTTGCCATGGCCCGGTCTGACAGGTAGCCAGCTGCGATGCTGCCTACAAGGCCCCCAACCTCCAGGGCACTCATGTAGGAGCTACCTGCAGTGGGGAGTTGTGGTGGGAAGAGGGAAAGGAAGGGTGGAAGGATGTGGAAGGGTGTTACACATTGGGGTTGTCCCAGATTGGCTTAAACTCAGAGAGGTACAGTGTCCCTAACGGTGACCGGCCACAGCTGCCTGAGTAGTGCCTGGCCTCAGGGAAAGAAGAAGGGGGATAAAGGGAAGCTGGGCCTGAATTTCCCATCCCTTGCATTGGTTCCTGCTCCCTATGACCAACCCTGTCCCAACACTCATCTTACCCACGAGGGCTGACTGTCCTTTCTCCTGGATAAGGAAGAACTGGCCCCAGTCAGTACAGCAGGTCTTTACTCCAAACACCACAAGGTAGCCAGTGGAGAGCACCCACAGGTAGGGGGATAGCAGCAGCTCATATAAGGTACTCTCCTCCTTTGAGGATCCTGGGAGTGGGAGGAGGCCAGGCCTCAGGCTCTGCTCCTGCTGCCCTGCCCCCACTGAGCCACCCCCCCACCGCCCCCCCATTAACCAGCCACAGGGGCAGAGTCCGTCTGTACATCCAGCGATCAGCAGGAAGGTACTCTCTCACCCACTGCTCTGCCCTCTCCCTTCCACCTCAATCCTCAACAAATGAAAGAAAAAGTGAGGACCAGGGTGGATGGAGGAAGGCACCCAAGCCACTTAAGCTTAGGATGCTGTCCGGCACAGGAAAGTCTGGCTGTGTTGTGAGGAAGGACCAGGATATAACATGAGTCACAGCATTTGTTGGCTCTGCCAATTGTCTGGTACTTAACTGCCTCTTGGGATGGAGTTTTATTTACTCCCCACCCACTCTCCATCACCATCCCTCCCCCTACATCCGTTGGCTCACAGAGGGCCAGGTACATAGGCAGTCCTCAGTGAAAGGCTGCCAAATGAATGATGAACGAAGGTGTCCCAGTGGTCGGCTTGGGTGGGTGCTCACCCTTCTTGCCCTTGGAGGGGGTGGGGTCCAGGTTGCGGAGTCCAACATCAGCAGGTTCATTGTGGATGAGGAGGAGACAGAGGAAGGAGACCACCACACACAGTGCCCCAGACAGGGCCAGCGTGCTGCGCCAGCTATAGCTCTGGGCAAGGATGGTTGCCAGGATAGGGCCCAGCCCTCCAGCCAGGTTCATGCTGGTTGACAGGATGGCCCACCAAGTGCCAAACTGAGATGGCTCAAACCACTGTGGGGCAGAGGGGGACAGAGTAGGTGCCCAGCCTACAGTCCATGTTGAAGGTGGGGGTCAGGTGGGACAGACCCAGATGCTCACATTACAGGGATGAGGGAGAGGGCGCTTCTATCTGGCAGGGCCAATTTCCCTCATCTGCCACCTGATCCCACCACATTCAGGCTCCCAAAATATCTTGACAAGCAATAGGAGCTGCCCTGGAACTCCTGAGGAACCTGCTCTCGGTTGGGGGTGGAGGTGCCAGTGCTCCCACATGCTCTTTAGGTATCCTCTCTGCCAATCTAAACAGGCTCCTTGGAAGCAGACACTCACCTTCCGCAGGACCTTCCCACATGGGGGCCAGCCCAGCCCCTGTGCCAGGCCATTGAGGAACCAGAGAGCAGCGAAGACAGGTACTGTGGAGCTCCAGGAAAAGACTATGTTGACTAGGCCAACCAGGAGCAGCCCAGAAGAGAAGAGCCAGCGAGCACTCATCTGGTCAGACAGCACTCCGCTCACAAACTTGCTGATGGCATAAGCTGCCGACTGGCTGCTGGTGATGAGCCCTGCAGGAGAGGGGAGCAGGGAGCTGGACACCTGGGGGGTTAGGGGCCAGGGCAAAGGCATAGGAGGGGCAGAGGAAGGCATGGGGTCAGGTGTGTAGAGGTGCCTGGCAGGGTGAGACAGTTTCCTTCCAAGAGGAATAGGAGGAGCCTGTGCTGGAATCCTGACACGTTCATGGAGGCCACTACTCCTGCCTCACCATCAGCACTAGCCCCAGGCTGACCCATGACTTTTCAGCCTCTTGGAGGGTTCCAGCTGCAGCTGTCAGAAGGCAAGAAGGGAGCAAGACATGGAAGTCCCCTCCCTGGGATTTATATATGCCTGGTTTCCCCCTCACCCCGGATGCCAGCCTAGGGCCTCTGGCAGTTCTGTTCTCCACCTCTGAACATGGGGTGAAGGGATCAGAATTGGAGTCAGGGACCTTACTCCTCCTGAAAGGTAGCCTTCTAGGCCACATGAAGCTGTTGTGCCAACTCCCCAGTTCCCAGTGCTCACAGTGTCAGTGGCCAGCACTCACCCTGCGGTCTTAGCATGCACCCACACAGATGTGGAAACCGTGCTCAGAATCCCCCTAAACACACTCAGAATAAACTGCCTCTGGGGGCACATATGGGTCACAAACATGCATAGACACATGACATAAGCAACCCTCCTTAGACATACATAGATCATATTCATAGTCCTTCGTCTACACCCATGTACACGGCTCTCAGAGCCGCTTCACCCAGCACATGCAGACTGTCCTCTAGCCTCTGCCTTGCACAGACACTTCACACACACTGAATACCTGTACACACCACACTGCCACAAACACCCAACTTGTCCTGGTGGCCTGTCCCTGGGCCCACCAGCCTGCCCTTCCAGGGCTCACCTAAGTCATCCTTGTCCAGAGGAATCTCCTCCACCACTGACGGCATGACAAAGGAGAAGGTCTTGCGATTGAAGTAGTACAGGCTGTAGCCTCCGAACATGGCCAGGAAGATCACAGTGCGGTAATAGCCGTAGCCTTGGGCTGCCATGGTGGGAGACAGCAGGCCCTACCGGCCAAGACACAGAGCCTCTGACCACACAGCTCCTGCTTGCTGCTCTCTCAGTGTCCAGATCTGCTGAGGTAGGCTGTTTCTGCTCCCTCCTCCACCCAGCCTCCCAGGCTCCCTTTATAGCCACCTTCTGGACAATCATTAAGCCTGGGGAGGATCCTAGGGAACCCAGTGTCCTGAGAAAGACAAGAAAACAGGAGATTACTGACTGCCAAGTTGTCGGGGTGGGAGGGGGGTCCCAGAAGGAGGCAGTGCTTGTGAGCCAGGCCAGCACCCAGTGTCCCCAGGACTTCTGCCTTTCCCTGCTCTTCCTTGTCCGCCTGCCTGTGAAGCCAGCTGTGATTAAAGGCTCAACCTAATTACTTTTGCCTGCAGGAGCCCAGGGGAGGCAGGGGTGGAATGAGTAGAGCTGCCCTCTCCAGCCCTACTCCCTCAGTCACTGCCTTCTCAGTCATTCAACGAAGGTTTACTCAGGGCTGACTGGTTGCCAGACAAAGCACCAGGTCCTGGGTTAGTTTCTATACACACACGCGCGCGCGCGCGCGCACACACACACTCAGACACGTACCCCCAACAACCCCACTTCCAAGTCTTCTAGAGCTGATCTCAAGCCCTGTAACTCCCCATACTTAGCAAACGAGGGGTAACTGTTTATTGTTAGTTGCAGAAGTGTAAACAAACGGGAACCTCCCAGTTCAGGCCCCACAGTGTCACACTGAAAGCCCCACTAGGGGCTGGATCGTGGTGGGGTCACTCAGCTGCCTCTGATCCCTTTACCCTGTGACTCAGTGTGGGCTCCTGTCTGGCTAGTTGGGGGCTGCAGGGTCGGTGACTGGACGGACGGCCTGCGGACGCGAGGGCACGCCGGCGGACTGCAGGCGGCAGTGCCGAACCGCCCCGCTCCCGAGGGCCTGGGCAACGCGCCCCCGGCTTTTCCGCTCGGTTGGGAAAGCAATTGGAGCGGAAGGCGTGGGCGCAAGCGGAGCGGGCGAGCGCACGTAGTCCCTCCCGAGGCCCCTCGCTTCGGGCGCCCAGTAGCTCAGCCTGGCAGAGTGGGGCCGGCGGCGAGAGGGGGCAGGGAGGGCGAGGGGCTCTCGGCACCTGCCCAGCCCCGTGTCCTCAAGCTACCCAGGACACCCGACTCGGGCCGGGAGCCCACGGGGCCTGGGTGCAGGAGCTGGAGAGGTGCGGAGAGACGGGGCTGGTGCGACAGAAAGGAGCAGGCGTGTGCTGGTCACGGGCAGCGCCTCGGCGGCCCCCAGACCCAGGGAGTGCCCCCACCCCAGAAGGGAGAGCAGCAGGAACAGCTCCGGGTTGTATCGGAAGTTAGGGTAACCTTTGTTGGGGATCCCCCAACAAAGAGAGACTCCCCCTCCAGCCCTGCTCTCAGGCGACGCCCCTCCCCCGCATACCGCCCGGTACCTGAACAGAGGCGGGAGCCCGAATAGGACGGGGCGGGGCCGGCGGGCGCATGCGCGAGCGCTCGGGGCGGAGCGGGGCCGGGCCTTCGCCTGCGTGTCTTAGACCCGGAGAGCCGAGTCAACCCCCAAGGCTTTGGACTTAAGCCTGCCCGTCTCGCTGGTCTTTGAGGGAGGACAGCGCCCCTTAGAGGCTGGACTCGTCTGGTTTCTTCTTAACTGATGGCGTTCAACGAACTTTTTTACTGCATGCCTGTCACTACCCATCACAGACGGAAAGATCTTGAGGGAGAACATAGTATTTTCTGTAAGAAAGGAATACAGTCCTCAATAAGCACACTTTGAATATTTAATTTGTGGTCAGACTGTTGGGGACAGAGTTAAAATAAAATGGAGTGATTAAACTACCTGGTCCGGAGTAAACCTTAAATTCTAATCCCGGACCCACTACATTCTAACAGTGTGACCTTGGGTAATAATCTCCTTGAGACCCGGTTCCCTACTAACGTCGTAGGTTGGTTGTGAGGACTCAATACAAGATTTAGGTAAGACTTCAGAAAATTTAGATATGGGACCGGCCCAGTGGTGTAGCTTTTAAGTGTGCGCGCTCCGCTGCTGGCGGCCTGGTTGGGATCCAGGCGTGAACCGATGCACCGCTTATCAAGCCATGCTGTGACAGCATCCCACATAAAGTGGAGGAAGATGGGCACGGATGTCAGCTCAGGGCCAGTCTTCCTCAGCAAAAAGAGGAAGATTGGCATGGATGTTAGCCCAGGGCTGATCCTCCTCACACACAAAAAAATTTTTTTAATTTAAAAAAAAAGGAAAATTTAGGTAATCGCTTTCACAGAGCCCACCAGAGAATTGCTGACAGAATTTTAAGTGCTCCAAAGTTGAGAGCAAAGATCTTTTCGAGTGGGAAGGTGGTCAGGGAAGGGAGGAGGTGGGGAGGAGATAAAATGGGACACCGTGTGGCTGAACTTCCTAATTCAACAGGTATCTACTGAGCCAGAGTCTAGCGCGTACCAGGCACTGTGCTTTCCTTGAGGTAGATCAGAGGACCAGGAAAATGAGTTTCTCCAACACCAAACCAGACCAAAGAATTCCTACTTTACCTAACAGACACGGAGCCATTTAAGTTTTTCCCCCAACTTATTTTTAAGGTATAATATACACAGTAAAATACAAAAAATGCACAAATCTTGTGTACAGCTCAGTGATTTTTTTTTTAATGTTTGTGAATGCCCCTGTAACCACCACCTAGATTGTTAGCTTTCCTATCATTTTATTTTCGAAATTTTCAAATCTATAGAAAAGTTGCAAGAATACTCTTCATCTCTTGAATGTTAATATTTTGCTATATTTTCCTAATCTCTCTGTATAAGTATAGGTACATGTTGTCAGGGAGGGAGAAATTTCCCTTTCTACCCTTCTTGTATTCTTATGACTGAACTAATAATAAAATTGACACAAGACCAGATTAACAGGAGAAAAATCCAATTTAATTACATGTGCATGGGAGAATCATGAAAATGATGCTCAGAGAGTGAAGGAAGCAGGCAGTATATATATTTTTTTTCATGAAGAAACAATAAATTTGTGAGGAATTGACAGGACAAAGAAACTTGGATTTGGGGTACGTAATTAGTAAGGAATTTAAACAGGGTTTAGGCTTGAGATAGTAAGTTAACAAAGTTTGTTTATGCGGGTTTCTCAGCCCTGAATTTCCTAGCTCTGGCGATAAGGATTCAGGGAGAGCACCTTTCACATGAGAGATTTATTTCCTGCATTCAGAGAGATAAAGGAGGGTCAGAGTGCTCTTCTTGTACTGGCTGCTTCTCAAGTGACTTTAATTTGAAATAATCAATATTCCATTGTGGAATATTTTGAGGCGGCCCATCCTGGGCCCCCAACAATGTGTTTGTTGTTGAACCATTTGCAAGTTAGTTGCAGATGCTGTGAAACTTCACCCCTATCTATTTTGTTCTGTGTTGCCTTAAGAACAGGAATAATCTAAATAACCACAATACGATTTCTCAGACTCAAGAAATGTATTTGTTAATATATAGTCCACATTTAAATGTCTCCAATTTTCCCAAAAATGTCTTTTAAAGCTTTTATTAAAATCCAGAATCCAATCAAGGATTATACATTGCATGTAGTTATAATTCTTTACTCTCTTATAATCCCGTTTTAAAATCTTTCATGAGGCATTCTGGAGTGGCGCTGCTTGGCACTGTGGTGGCAGATTGCAGGCTGCTGGCGCCTTGGGTGAGGAGAATGGCAAGTGGGTTCAGCATTTCCCTTCTGGGTCCCCAAAACGATGAGTGCTGTCAGGGAGTCCCATCCACATGAGATGAAGCGTTCAGCCTCCCCAGACAGCGATCTTGGATCTAGTAATTGGGAGGCAGCAGACTTAGGGGAAGAAGACAAGAAAATTAATGAAGAAGTGGGTCTCAATGTCAGCACAATATGGACGGTAAATTGTCGGGAAGATATGGACGACATTGTGGACTTGGCTTCAGTGAAGTAGATCATGATGGAGAAGGTGATGTGGCGGGAAATGATTCACCTGATCCTGAAAATCCCGATGGCTCTGAAAGAGATTCATAGAGGAAAATGAATCTGCTGAAGAACACCAAGCCGCTGAGCACCCTGATCAACCGGAGGGTTCCAAAAACAAAAAAGATACAAAAATCTCCTATAAAATGATGTTTGTTAAATCCAGTGGTTCATAACTCCCAAACACTTAGTCTTTGTATTAAAAGTAAGCCTTATTGTTGACAAGAGAGTCTCACATATTGAGGTATATGGGGTAACTATTTGGGTTCAAGACTGATTCAGTTTGAGCTAAATAGCCTGACTTACCTATCAAACATACATTGTACATCTGCTTTAACCATTAAAGTGAAGAATGCACTGTCTTAAGATAAGAGTGCATACTTCCCCTCCTAGGCCCTATAGGTAATGCCCTATGGTAACACCTGGATTAGTCCCTTTCCTGACATCAGGGTCAAGTTGACCTGCTAATTTGCAACTGAATACCTCTTTGAAACTTTGATGAATATGTATCCTGGGCATGTTAATGTATGTTCTTTGTTATAAAAAGATATAAGACTGTACTGAAAACCATGCTTCTCCGGAACACTTTCTAAGGCCTTCCCAGGTTATAATCCTCACTCTGGCTCAAGTAAATTCACCTTATTTCTCTTATCTATTGAATGGTTATTGGTTACTTTGCATTGACAGTACTATTCATCCTGGAAATTTCTACTGCCAATAACAATCTAAATTAATGTTGGCAAAATATTAGGTACTTAGTTTACTCTTACTGATTCAGCTCTACTCTTTGCTGAGGAAGATTTTGCCGTGAGCTAACATCCGTTGCCGATCTTTCTTTTTTTTCGCTTGAGGAAGATTAGCCCTGAACTAACATCTGTGCCAATCTTCCTCTACTTTATATATGGGTTGCCACCACAGCATGGCTGACGAGTGGTGTAGGTCCACTCTCAGGATCTGAACCCGTGAACCTGGGCCACTGAAGTGGAGCACGCCAAACTTAACCACTACACCACAGGGCCGGCCCCAACTCTACTCTTTGGACCAGAGCAATGTGAGAGCAAATACTTTCACATTTGTTAGAATGGAGTTGCAACTGTCATACATTTGGAATGTTATGATCCCAAGCCGTCTTTACATAATTCAAATTACATTGTATGTCATACTTTTGATAAAATTTTGCCAATTTTTATAGAAGAAATTATTTCTCTGATCATTTGGTCCTATCTATGTAAAACTGGATTTTTTTAAAAGGTAATATGTGACCAAAGTTAATTTTCTTCCTAAGGCCTAAATAAAGAGAAAGCAATTTCCCATAAATGAAAGTGAGAGAGAGAGAGAGAATGAGAGAGAGAGGGAGGGGGCGGGGGGAGAGAGAGAGAGAAAGAAAGAAAGAGAGAAGGAAGGAAAGAAAAATCTTTCATAACTTCAATATTTTTCAAGAGTCTAGGTCAGTTGTTTTGCAGAACATCCCTCAAAATGGATTTGTCCAATTGTTTTTGCAATAAGGATCGTGTTAAACAATTTTGGCAAAAGTGCTGTATAGACACATCAGTGTCCTTCTCAGTGTACCACATTAGGAGGCACGTGATAAGTTTGATCATTTAGTTAAAATGGTGTCCACCTTGTATACTGTAAAGGTACCTTTTCTTCTTTGTAATTAGTAATCCACAGGACCATACTTTAATACTGCGAAAATATCCTGTTCCAACAATCTTTCACCCAGTGGTTTTAGCATTCTGATGATTCTTGCCTGAATCATTTATTAATACAGTGGTTGCAAAATAGGGATTTTTTTCCTTCTATCATTCCCTCTATATTTATGTGTTGGTATTCTTCTGTAAAGAGCTTATCTCTCTCCCCCTCCCCCCTTAAAAAGATTAGTATCAGTGCAGACTCATGGATTTCTGTATTTGATGTATTATAACCTGTGCCTACCATTATCTATATTAATGCTCAAATTGTCCCACATATGGCCAGTAGGAGCCCCAATTTAGTTTAACTTTTAAATTTTTTCCGTTGTTCAAGTTATACATTATCATTAGACTAAACTTGGAAAAGACCAAAAAGAAGTTCTAAACACC